TATAAAGTAAAAGTACCTGATATATACATGTTAGGGATAGTACTCAGGTCGTAGTTTTACATAGTATTCTCTGGGCCCATAAAGCAGCTGAGGAGCCTCAGGTCGGATGGATTCTGATGTTTTTTCGAGGGGGAGAAATTTAAATGTCACAATCTAAAGACATCTAGAGACTCCCCCCCCCCCCCAAACACCTCACCCATGTGAGGAGGGGAGTCGCAGCGCCTGCTTGTCCACTGGGACCGGTCCCGCCGGCCCCCCATCAAAGCCCCGGGAGCCTTTGATGGGGGCTGATAGGGATCAATGGGGACAGAGGAAGAGGTCCTAACTGAGCGCGTTACAGACGGGCCGGCAGAGGAGATCAATGATTATTGGGGCGTCATCAGAGCGTCATCAGAGCGCCTTCATCTGCATCCAGGAGCCCTTCAGCCCATCGGATTGCTTCTTTACATTTTACTGTCACTGCGTTTGTTCTTAGGTCAAATTTAAATAGGGAAATATTCACTTTGTTTTGTTCCACCTGAAGTGTATTTTTACTTTTAAAGTACAAATATATTTTAATGTATTTGTAGTTCTGCTTTTCCTCTTAATAATTTACACTTACGCTTGTTTTTTTAAAGCTTTTTTGTGCTAAACTGCAGCACGATTAATATTCTAAATTTTATTATTTTGTCAACAAATCATCTATAAAAAAATAAAAAACACAAAAAACAGTTTTGTCATTAAATATTATTACAAATTTTTTTGTTAGAATTGTTAACATCGTCAATTAGGAGAAGTTTTTTTTAGTTCAAATAAAAATAGGGAAATCTTTCTTTCTTTCTGACCTTAAATATGTATTTTAAATTAAAAAAAATATATATAATATTTTAATGTATTTGTAGTTCTACTTTTCCTCTTAATAATTTACAGGCGAGGTTGTTTTTTTAAGCTACTTTGTGCTAAACTGAGCAATAATATTCTAAATTTTAATATTTTTGTCAACAAATAATTGTAAAGAAATACAAAGATTTTTGTCATTAATTATTGTTTTATTTAATTTATTTCTTAAAATGATGAACAACATGAAGGATGACTGTATCACAGAGTTCAAATTAAAGATGATTTATGATGAACTCATGCAGCGTATTGATTTGTACATTTGAATACAGTAGATTAACTTGTGATGCAACTTTATTTTAAGAAGACTCCTCAAAGTTGCTCCAAGACAACTCACTCTGTGGCTCCATATGTGTATTCATCCGCCGCTGAAAATAGTCCCCCATAAATGCACTATTGTCTCTTTTTAAAAGAAGAAACTATGTTTGTGAGGAATCATCGTGCTGGAGCTGAGACACAGACAGGAAGTCAGAAACACGCTGATTCATGAGATTTGATGACGATAATAAAAACAAAGTAGATTCTCCTTCAAAGCTTCTGTATTCAAGACGAGTTTCACTGAGTTATTTAGGATTTTATCTGTAAAAACCTGATAAAGACGGAGACGTGAGCTGCAGAGATGTGAGCACCAGGTCGGGACATGTGTCTCCCTCTGGTCTCCCCCCTCGGGGGGGGGTCGAGGTGTGTTTGTGTCCATAACAGAGCAGCAAACAGGCCCATTAGAGATGAAAGGGTCTGAGAGGATCCAATCAGAGACGAGCTCAGCAGGAGACAGTCATCACACAGACAGCAGGGACGACACACACACACACACACACACACACACACACACACACACACACGATGAACCAGACTGTGATCCTGACGTGTGTGTGTGTGAGCACAAAAGATGTAAACAAGGATTATGCAGAAAAGAAACCCTCAAAAAGAGTTAAAAGTTTCAAATAAAAGATTTTAAGGCTCATTTCACTCAAAAATAAACAAAATCTGGGTTTAATGGAGGTCAATGGCTTTTTGTTTGTGCTGAAAGAGTTAAATATAGTTAAATATAAACAGAAATAAGAAACAAGTCCTGGTACTTGAAATTTGTGTTTTTCTATTTTATGATGATGAAAAATAAGTCAAAAGTTAAGATATAATAAGAAATGTATTGAGTCATAATTTAGAGATAAATACTAAATCATACATTTGAAATAATTAATTAATTAGATAGTAAATCAACATTTTGAAGTACATATCAGTCACCGGAGACATTTTACTGCAGAGCGAGTACTTTTACTGCTCATACTTTAAGTACATTCGACTGACAATACTTTTTAAATATTGCTGTATTGGTACTTTTACCACTGGGTATATTTACCTTTGACTATGCTGAAACGTTGGTTGTAATATTGTACGTTTAGTTTTGTAAATATATATTTAGTAAAACCTATTTTCCAGAGATGATCAATACTTTGAATGCAGGACTTTTACTCGTATCGGAGTGTTTTTATTTGACTTCCTCTTTGACTCTTGTTTTTACAGGAACATGTTTAGTAAACACGTGGTTACACATTAATTCCTGGTAATAAACAGAAACTAGAGCTCATTGGTTTGAAGAAGCTGAAAGAATGAACATTTCCACAGAGATGTCTGAGCTCAGAGGTCCAGACTGAGAGTCTCCTCTCGTTCACACATACGGCGTCAAGAACACAGACGTGTCGACGGAGACGAAGAAATAAAAGTTCTTCAGACACACGGAGGTCACTTCTCCTCCTCAGAGACTGAGATACAGAGGAAGGATGAACGGAGGAAACACAGGAGGAGGAGGAGGAGAAGAAGGATTAAGGAGGAGGAAAAGAAGAGAAGAAGACAAACAATAAGGAGGAGGAGAAGAAGAAGGAGAAGTGTGTGTTCATGTCAGAGAGGAGAAGGAGGTGTGAGCACCGACGCTGTCTTTGATGTTAAACTGGTATTTAGAGGTTAATGAGGCTGTTAGGGAGAGGTGAAGGAAACGCCTGAGAGTTCACACACACACACACACACACACACACACACACACACACACACACGCTTTTGAATATGGATAATTACATTTTTCTTTTACTTTTAACGGTTATTTAAATGAAACACATGAGAAGTTTGAGGAACTGATAACTGATATCATCTGAAACATGACGAGCAGACGCAGACTGATTTATATCTAAAAGGTCAAAAGTCAAAGTGGTTTGATCTTTAAC